TTCTGCTGTGCATGGGGTTGCTATGAGTCGGAAACGAGTCGACGGCACTTAACAACAACAACAAGAACAAGCTGAAAGCTGTTCCCGGAATGTTCTTAAGACCTGCTGTGATTGAGGTTGGTTGACTTCTAGAATTAGAGAACCCGTATGCTGAAGCAGCTCTTACACATCACAAGGTATAGTGGTGCATTTTATAGGCCCAAAGAGGGGAAGGGACCTGGAGACAGTAAAACAGAACAAGAGGCTTGGAGCCTGCTCACCAGACTGGGCACTTGAGCATATGGCCTAGTGTTTAGGAGAGGGGGAACACATAAAGGACTCCTCATTGGTGCTCTTGCTGCTATAGTTCAGAATGTGTCTCTTATTTTCCCTGCCCCTGCCCTGTCCTTTCCCTGAGGATTCTAGAGGGCAGAGACAAGGAATGCCCACCTACCCTTTGTATCCTCTTTTGCTTCTCAAAGTTGGGCCACTGAGTTGCTCTGTAAGGACTTGGACTTCCTCCCTCTGCCTACCTTCTAGCCTCTCCTATATGATTCCTGTTAAGGTTCTGGGCTAGTGGCCTGCCTGGTGGAACCAGTCCTTTAATCTTGAGTTTGTAGAACTGGGGTCCTTGCTTCCTGCTTTTGGGCCTGCATTGCCAAGTTCACTAGAGGCCTCCTTTTTTCCTTTAGCTGCAGATTTGGGACACAGCCGGCCAGGAGAGGTTCCGCACGATCACCCAGAGTTACTACCGTAGTGCCAATGGAGCCATCCTCGCATACGACATTACCAAGAGGAGCTCCTTCCTGTCAGTGCCTCACTGGATCGAGGACGTGAGGAAGTATGCGGGTTCCAACATTGTACAGCTGCTGATCGGTGAGTTTGGAGGGACTAGAGGCTGGGGAGACAGGGGATGCTGGAGTTGGAAGGGTCCCTTGAGACCGTGAATCCTGTCTCTCTGTCTCTGACTGTATTTTATTGTGGTGTAGTATATATCACAAAATATTTGCCATTTTAATAATAATTTATGTGCATAATTCAGTGACATTGTGTTTACTGTGTTTTGCAGTTATCACCTCTGTCTGTTTCCACATTTTTTCATCATCCTTAACAGAAGCTCAGTGCCCCTAAGCAATGCCTCCCTCTTTCCTTCTCCCATCTGTCCCTGATAATCACGAATAAACTTTTGTCTCTATACATTTGCCTATTACAGGTATTTTGTATATGTGGGATCATACAATAATTGATCTGTTTGTGTCTGACTTACTTAAGTTAGCGTAATGTTTTCAAGATTCATCCATGTCATAGCATATATCAAGACTTCATTCCTTTTAATGGATGAATATCTGTTTTTTAAATAAAGGACAAGACTGAGCTCAGAGAATGACTGAGCTGGGCCAGGTAGGAATGGAGCCAGAACATGAACCGTGATTTTGTTTATCAGTTATAAAATTATATTCAAAACTAAAGTTAGAAGAAATAAGAAAGGAATCTAAAGTTTGCTTTGTAGTTACTGTATATCTGCACAGTGGTCAGCACTATGTCAAATACTTCCATGTGTCATTTGATTTCATTCTTGCAATTTTATAGGTGATGGGACTGAAGCTCAGAAAAGTGAGGGAATTTATTTAAATCCACACAGCTTGTGAGCAGATAAACCTGTAGTTTGAGTTCTATTCTCCTGATTGTAATACACTGACTTTCTCTATCACCATCTATTATAGAGCAGTGGTTCTCAAAGCTTGGCATGCAAAGGAATCCCTTGGAAGTCTTGTTAGGGCACTGAGTTTCTGATTCAGGTGCTGGAAGTGAGGCCTGCGAATTTGCATTTGAAATAAATTCCCAGATCATGGCACGTTCATGACCCAAGGATCCCACTTTGAGAATCACTGCTACAGAGAGGTGTGACTTCCCTCCTTTTCTCTTTTCTTCATACATAAGCTTCCCTGGCCTGGGCTCAAAAAGCTGTGGAATACAGTGTGATGCCAGAAATTCTTGCCTCAGCAGCTGGGCTGATTCTGTGCAGATAGGGCTTGTACTATAGATTTTGAGCCTAGGGCCTTGAACTTGGCTCTAGCTGGGAGAAAGGAGGGCACTTAGTTCTACATGACCTTCTCACCAGCCTGGATACCAGATCAGGGCAGGAAAGCACAAGAGAGGAGCCACATGCCCTGGTAGAATATGGGCTGTACCTTCCATGGCCTAACCACATCTCTCTTACCAAATAAATTAAAAACAAAATAACACAAAAATTTTATTATAGAGCATCTCATACAAGTACAAAAATAGGATACTATAATGAATTTTTTTTTTTTTTTTTTGTATAATGAACTCTTATGTACCCGAGCTTCAGCAAGTAGCAGCTCATGCCAGTCTTGTTTCATCTGGACCCTCATCCACTCTCCTTGCTTGTGTTATTTTGAGGCAAATCTCAAAACAACCCATTTCATCTGTAAATAATCCTGCATGAGTCTATAAAACTAACTCCAGATGGATCAAAAACTTAAATGTGAGACCTAAAACTATAAAATTCCTCAAGGAAAAAATAGGGGCGAATTTAAAATCTATAAAAGATATAAAACCAAACTCATTGCCATTGAGTCAATTCTGACTCATAGCAGCCTCCATTGGGTTTCCAAGGCTGTAAATCTTTATGGAAGCAGACTGCCTTATTTTTCTCTGTAAAGCAGCTGGTGGGTTCAACCACTGACCTTTCGGTTAGCAGCCAAATATACCACCAGAGCACCTATAAAAGATATAAACAGTTGTGGGGTTTTTTTTTTTTTTCCTTCTTTTTTTTCCTCCTGCTTCCCCTCCCATCCCTGGTAACCAACAAAGAAAATTTCCTTGATTTATTACAATAATGAACTAACATAATATTTGTCTTTCTGTGATTGACTTATTTCTGTGATTGACTTATTTTACTCAGCATAATGTGTCCTCCAAGTTTATCCACATTATGTGGTGTTTTGTAGGTTTTACATTATTCTTTAGTGTTGTATAGTATTCCATTGTGTGTATGCACTATAGTTTGATTAAGTTATTCATTCTTCTGTTGATGAGCACATAGGTTGTTTCCATCTTTTGGCTATTATAAATAGTGCTGCGATGAACATGGGTGTGCACGTATCTATTCTTGTCCTGGCTGTCACTTTAGGATATGATATATACCTAGTAATGCGATCACTGGATCAAATGGTATTTTCAATTCCAACTTTGTAAGGAATTGCCATACTGCTTTCCACAGTGGTTGTATCATTTTATAGTCCCACCAGCAGTGTATGAGAGTCCCAATCTCTCTGCAACCTTGCCAGCATTTTGTTATTTTCTGTCTTGTTGAACTTTGCTGTTAGTACTGGGTTGAGATAGTATCTCATTGTTGTTTTGATTTGCATCTCTCTAATGGCTAATGATCATGAACATTTCTTCATGAGTTTGTTGGCCTCTGAATACCCTCTTTGGTAAAGTATCTATTCATGTCTTCTGCCTATTTTTTAATTGGATTGTTAATCTTATTGCTGTTGAGATGTTGGAGTTTTCTATAAATTTTAGAGATAAGTCCCTTGTCAGACATGTCACTGCTGACTATTTTTTCCCAATCTGTAGGTTCTTTTTTCACTCTTTTGAAGAAGTCTTTGGAAGCACATAAAAATTAATTTTTAGAAGGTTCCATTCATCTAGTTTATCTTCTGTTGTTTGTGCATTTTGGATTATGCTTGACAGTCTATTTATACCATAAATGAGGGCCCTAAATTTGCCCCTATTTTTTCCTTGAAGAACTTTATAGTTTTAGGTCTCATATTTAACTCTTTGATCCATCTGGAGTTAGTTTTTATGTATAGTGTGAGGTACGAATTTTGTTTCATTTTTCTGCAAATGAGTATCCAGTTTTGCCAGTACCATTTGTTAAAGAGACCATCTCTTCCCAATTTAATGGATTTTAGCCCTTTCTCAAAAATAGCTGACTACTAGTAGCTAAATTCAACAAGACAGAAAATAACAAATGCTGGCGAGGTTGTGGAGAGATTGGGACTCTCATACACTGTTGGTGGGACTGTAAAATGGTACAACCATTGTGGAAAGCA